TTAAACACTTGAGTTATTTATTCTCCATATTTAATTGAAAAGTAAAACAGGATAAAAGATTCATGTAATGCCTCCACCCTGATTCCCAGCATAGCACTGTCATACCAGGAACACTTTGAATGGTATTGCCAGCAAAATGTCGACATCTACATCTTGTGTATTGACCATTTAATTTGGTAAAGGCAGCGGGAGTACTTTGTTGGTAACTTATGAAGACGGGGAAAAAATTTCCCAAATGTTCAAAATAGCCTACAATAAGCTGGTGATTCATGCTTCATCTTTGATTAATTAAAAGATGAGAGCCTACTACAAAACGTTTTCTGTGTAGACTAATAGTGTGTTATGTATATGATCCTCTGTCAGTCTGGACGAGCTACCCCTCTATTCTGTTCCATATGTTTTGTTCATTAATGGGGAATTAGAGTACTTTGAGGTCATTACCTTTGTAAAATGTTTATAAACCTTGAAAGAAACTATAACTTACCAGTAATTAGAGCATTTTTTTACAGTATTGTGTTAAGCAGGAAAACATCTATCACCAGCAGGCATAAAGCATAAATCATTTGCACAAAAAAGCAACAAAACACATGAACACAAATTTAATTAAATAGACAAGTAAATCAAGTGCATAAACAAAACAGGCAGACAAAGTGCATATGTCATACAAACAATTAAGGAAATAGCAGGAGTAAAGGACCAATATGAAACATCATAAACATATTAACAGTTCTGTACCTTACTACTGTACACTGTAACAGTACTGTACCTTACTACTGTACATTATAACAGTACTGTCCCTCACTGCTGTACATTATAACAGTACTCTACCGTACTACTGTACATTATAACAGTACTCTACCTTACTCGTACATTAAAACAATACTGTACCTTATTCTACTGTACATTATAACATTACTCTACCTTACTACTGTACATTGTAACAGTACTGTACCTTACTACTGTACATTGTAACTGTACTGTACCTTACTACCGTACATTAAAACAATACTGTACCTTATTACTGTAACTGTAGTGTACCTTACTACTGTACATTATAAAAGTACTGTACCTTATTACTGTTATAATGTACAGTTGTTGTACATTGTAACAGTACTGTCCATTATAACAGTACTCTCCCTTACTACTGTACATTGTAACTGTACTGTACCTTACTACCGTACATTAAAACAATACTGTACCTTATTACTGTAACTGTACTGTGCCTTACTACTGTACATTGTAACTGTACTGTACCTTACTACTGTAAATTAAAACAATACTGTACCTTATTACTGTAACTGTAGTGTACCTTACTACTGTACATTAAAACAGTACTCTACCTTACTACTCTACATTATAACAGTACTCTACCTTGCTACTGTATATTATAACAGTAGTAAGGTACAGTACAGTTACAGTGTACAGTAGTAAGGTACAGTACTCTACCTTATTACTGTAACTGTACTGTACCTTACTACTGTACATAATAACAGTACTGTACCTTACTACTGTATATTATAACAGTACTCTACCTTATTACTGTAACTGTACTGTACCTTACTACTGTACATTAAAACAATACTGTACCTTATTACTGTAACTGTACTGTACCTTACTACTGTACATTGTAACAGTACTGTACATTATAACAGTACTTTACCTTACTACTGTACATTATAACAGTACTGTACCTTATTACTGTAACAGTACTGTACCTTACTACTGTACATTATAACAGTACTGCACCTTACTACTGTACATTATAACAGTACTCTACCTTATTACTGTAACTGTAGTGTACCTTACTACTGTACATTGTAACAGTACTGTACCTTACAACTGTACATTATAACAGTACTGTACCTTATTACTGTAACAGTACTGTACCTTACTACTGTACATTATAACAGTACTGTACCTTACTACTGTACATTATAACAGTACTGCACCTTACTACTGTACATTATAACAGTACTCTACCTTACTACTGTACATTAAAACAGTAATCTACCTTACTACTGTACATTATAACAGTACTCTACCTTATAACTGTAACTGTAGTGTACCTTACTATTGTACATTGTAACAGTACTGTACCTTACTACTGTACATTATAACAGTACTGTACCTTATTACTGTAACTGTACTGTACCTTACTACTGTACACTGTAACTGTACTGTACCTTACTACTGTACATTATACCTTATATACATTATAACAGTACTGTACCTTATTACTGTAACTGTAGTGTACCTTACTACTGTACANGAGTGATATTCTATAGAAAGTAAGTCCCTGAAGTTCCCCAATATGTCTTTTTGTTGTCAGAATTACATCATCCTGGCTCAGGCCCAAAGTGGATTGTCTTACACTGTGATGAAGGTTCTAGAAAGGTTTCTGGTTTAACCGGACAGATTATTATCAAGGCTTTGACGGTTTTAACAATAAAAAAACAATTGTGTTGATGGCACTACACCCTTTTTCGTATTGGACTCTGGTGGAAGTCAAATAGAGAAGGAAGTGCCAGGTGAACTGTAATGGCAGACCAGAATTACCCATGGGAAGCCTCAATTTGCATGTTATGAGGATCCAGCAGGGAGTTGTAATTGAATGCTCTAAACTGGGCATTACATACCTCCCTGAACTGCAACAAGCAATTAGAGATTGTTAGTCGATGTCTGTTTCGTGAGAGGTGCATTAACTTCCTGCTATAGCACAAACACTCATTAATGACTGTACTGTCAACACCGGGCATCAGGAGGGGTAGAGAATCCAGGTGTTCATAGCGTGGTATTGGGTGTCTCTTTATCAGGTTAAAACATAGCGTGGTATTGGGTGTCTCTTTATCAGGTTAAAACATAGCATGGTATTGGGTGTCTCTTTATCAGGTTAAAACATAGCGTGGTATTGGGTGTCTCTTTATCAGGTTAAAACATAGCGTGGTATTGGGTGTCTCTTTATCAGGTTAAAACATAGCGTGGTATTGGGTGTCTCTTTATCAGGTTAAAACATAGCGTGGTATTGGGTGTCTCTTTATCAGGTTAAAACATAGCGTGGTATTGGGTGTCTCTTTATCAGGTTAAAACATAGCGTGGTATTGGGTGTCTCTTTATCAGGTTAAAACATAGCGTGGTATTGGGTGTCTCTTTATCAGGTTAAAACATAGCGTGGTATTGGGTGTCTCTTTATCAGGTTAAAACATAGCGTGGTATTGGGTGTCTCTTTATCAGGTTAAAACATAGCGTGGTATTGGGTGTCTCTTTATCAGGTTAAAACATAGCGTGGTATTGGGTGTCTCTTTATCAGGTTAAAACATAGCGTGGTATTGGGTGTCTCTTTATCAGGTTAAAACATAGCGTGGTATTGGGTGTCTCTTTATCAGGTTAAAACATAGCGTGGTATTGGGTGTCTCTTTATCAGGTTAAAACATAGCGTGGTATTGGGTGTCTCTTTATCAGGTTAAAACATAGCATGGTATTGGGTGTCTCTTTATCAGGTTAAAACATAGCGTGGTATTGGGTGTCTCTTTATCAGGTTAAAACATAGCATGGTATTGGGTGTCTCTTTATCAGGTTAAAAAACCATCGTCACCAAACTAAACAATACTTGTAAATTGTATATGTTTTCCATAATCCTTCAATTAATTTTCAGGCTGTATACCTGATGTTAAAAGCAAATTAGGTACATACTGTCTCTGACTATTAAAAGAGTTAAATACCGTAAATATTGGCAAATTGTGCGCAGGTACCTTTTGGGTGAAACAAAGAATTTCTGGGGAAAATGTCCAAACAGATCACTAATTAAGATAAATAGTTTATAATTACATAGATCCAATTGAATCTAATCACCTGACACTTATTATGTTCATAGGTTTTTAGTGTTTTGAATACAACTTGAATTTGGTTGGTGTATATAATGAGTATGCAGTGCAGATGTTAATATATATACTCTCATCCAATTAGGGTGTAGGTTTACCTTTCCTGCCAAAAGCTTACTGACTTTTATAATATAAAAAATGTTTCATTTAACACTTAACCTTAAGTCTTGTATATTGAGAATTTAAATTGTTACATTTTAATCTGTGTAAATGTAGAGATAAAGCTTGGTCTGTACAGGAGGAACCCCAAGCCTCTCATGCCAGTCTGTTGACTGTTGAAACTTTCCAGATATTTCCCAAACATATTTAGAATATAAAACTGTTGTGTTATAGCTGTAATCCATCTACAATTTTCAATGGCATTTACGTTTTTGTAAACATAATCCTTTCACGGTAAAACGAAAGTGTTTCTCTCACAGCATGCACACATCCGTAGGGCTGCAGGAGGACAATAGTTGGTTTACAATACTGGTGCTTTTATGTAAATCCTCTGTATCTTGTAGATGTTAGGGTACATAAGAAAACAATACAGCCTTGTTCAAGTCAGACCTGTTTATGACGTGTAACCAGCATTTCCTTGCCGATAGACTTGTACCATGGTAACCATAGAGCTCCTGTCTGAGCAGCATAAAACCTATTTCACAATTGCTCCATTCAGAATATCATGTATCATCTTTTTATCTATGTTAAAATCTCTACATGTATTGGTTGTCGAATTTGGTTGTCGTGTCTGGTATAAACAAATGAATGCACAAACGTTTCTTATAACCTGTGCATCAGCCCTGCTAAAGTATCAAAAAAAGGTTCATCTAGAATGAAAATCAAAAACTAAAGAACACCAAGGAAATCTATAGCAAATAATGTGTGATAAGAAAACGTGTTAAACATTTTTTTCCAAATCTTGTTTTCTGAATTTCCTGATCAATAAAAAAAAACCATGATAGATATTTTTAGTGTTATTTAAACTATATGAAGATGACTCTGAACAATACCCTTGAACTTTGTTTGAAAATTACCACCTGTGTTGGTGAAATAATACCAGAATTTGTATTTCCTGTCAGAAGATGAGTAACACTGTTTTACATAAAAGCGATTAACATCACACTTGTTTCATTCTTTTAGGTTCATAATGTCAACTTTGCCTTTGAACTGATGCAAGATGGTGGACTTCCGAAGCCCAAAGCCCGACCAGAAGGTATTATTACTCTGTATATGTCAGTAAATGACTCATAATGTTAATATCAAACATCTATTTTAACTGATATATCACGCCAACCTATCAAGATATCACTGATTATTTTGTTTCAGCACTTTTACTCTAGTTTGGAGGAAAGAAGAATCAAATTTTGAGATTTTATGTGTAAATTCTGTTTTCTCCTCCTTTTTTAAATAATCATCGGTGAAAATTTGGCAACAAATAGAGTTTGTATTTTGCTCAGGTGAAACTGTCAAGTGCAACATAAATATTGAAATATATTCATGAATTTAAATATTTTGTGAAATGTTTTCAGACAATCAACCAACATATATGTAATTATATTAATGCAAATTTCACTGAAAACTTTTGCAATTAAGCCTCTTGTGATAAACGTTACCTATCAAAAAAAGTTGTTGCTAAAATGAAACCACTTTTAGTGTATACATTTCTGATATGTTTATTCTTCACAGATGTCGTCAACCAAGATCTGAAATCTACTCTCCGTGTGCTCTACAACATCTTTACCAAATACAAAGGTCAAGCACCGTGACATGGTCACATTGTGTATGGTAGGTACCACAACATTACAGTAGGACCATACTGTCACCCCACTGTTTACTCTACCCTGTTTTCCAGTTTTGCTTCCTATACGACTACAGAAACAGTTACAACTCTTTCAATCTTATCTTTCTTCTGTTGCAGAGGTTTTCATCACTTTTCTCAAAAACCATGGAGCAGAATTTAAAGAAATTTTACATGAGTATTTATAAATGTAAAGTAATGCGAATGTTGCTTCACATTTTTGATTGGTCACCATGGAAACCAAATGGAGCCTTTTGTGGAAAATTAAATATTGAGCAGTTTTGCTCTCATTTGATATGTATGTATATAATAACTTTACAGTCCAGTGCAGCCTATGACTTTCTGACAGTCCAGTATACCCTATGCCCCCCTGAAATTACAGTCTGTTAGTCAATGTTTCGGTCCAGTATACCCTATGCCCTGTATAAGTCTGTGTAGATGGCCAGAGTATCTTACAGATCACATAGAGATCACATTGTATGCTGAGAACAGGTCAGGCAGTCCAAAACACTTGTTGTTAACTCGACTTTAACCACAACACAAAGTACTTCGGGTTTGTCATACACTGGAAAATCTAAGGAAGGCTCTGACCTTAGTTCCTTATGTTTTCAGGTAATCCTCATCAGGACTAGAATCACTTTCTGTGACCCACTTGATCATCATAAGATCGTTTCTCAGTGATAATCTGTGCCAGTGATAAAATAGTGTTATCTTTTAATCATACAGCCTCTATCTAATTCTCCTTCGTGTATGGCTGAGATTTCACACAGACAAAAAACACTATATTCAGAGGATGTGGTTTTTCCTGGCCTTTGTCCGCATGAATCCTTTATAACTTTACTCAATGGAGCTAAGGAACTGATTTATTATAGGTGTATATCCAAACACAATCTATCAGAGAAGTGGGATTGGTCTGAGTGACAGAAATGATTGTGTTACATAATATACCTGTGATGGTATCCTAGTGTATTATGGTAATACTGTGGTTTTCTATCAGATCTATGTAAGCACCACTCAATTTTACCTCCTCATTACTTTTTAATATTTTTTGTGTATTCGTAGTTAGACAATCAGTGAATTGGTTGATGTAAATCCAGTGAAATTATCAGAAACTGTGCAATACTGATACCTTTTCCCACCCATCTCCACAGCTTGTTATAATTACTTCATGCTGTATATAGTGGGTTTTCCAATTTTACAATAAAGTGTATTCATAAGGTAACAGTAAGGTAACAGTGAACATTTTATACCAGGTGACCCTGCACACACAACAATCAGAAAGCAAACAAAGTTTAACCACTTCATAGGAGTATTCAATTTTCCACAAATCACAGATATGACATAAATTAAAACCAAACCTTATGAGGGACATGTTGAGTACTGTTTTACTAGTATAGGCACACTAAATGGAGGTTTAAGATAGATACCAAATAAAAAGTTGTCCCTTACTTCTAGTGAAAGTCATGTGATCAAGGCCTGGGTATTGGATAAATGTTCTACGTCCGTTTCAGTTTTACGTCATGTGATCATGAGAAATCCTAACTTTATTTCTTGTTAAAAACTAGCATGGTTCATAGAAGGAGATAGACTGTGTTAGTTGGGTGTTACGGAAAAAAAATCAGATTTTGAAATAGGAAACTATAAAACAGGAAATGTTCATCCTTGAATGAGGAGGTGAATTCAATGGGCAAGCACCCTTCATGGTGAGGGCAAATTCAATGCCCAAACATCCATAAACGAGGAGGAAAATTCAACAGAGGACAAACAGCCATCAATAAAACGGTAAATTTAACAAAGAGGAAACATTTAATGATAAGGTAAATTCAACAGGAGCAAGCACCCTTCTGTGTGAGTGCAAATTCAATGGGGGGCAAGCACTCTTTAAAATTCAAAAGGAGCATACATCTTTGAGTGAGATGACAAATTCAACCGAGGGCAATTATTATGGATTGATAGAGTGATAGAGCTAATTCAACAGGGGTAAATGACCCTACAATGAGAGGACATATTCTTTAGGGGGCAAAACATATTTTACATATAGTTACCAGTATTGTTGTGTATACATGGGCGATTGAATAATGAAGAAATTATTAAGAGGACACCAATTTGGCAAGTCATAATATTACAATAAAGAGTATTTAGGTAAGGGAATCTCTCAGATATTCTGAAAATGTCTTTCATGGATTATCAAAATTCTGATTGGCAAGGATTAACCTTGTACTGTCAGTTCTTTTCATAAGAGGTAGCAGGTTGCCAAATCTACCATCTAGAACCTAATTTTGCCCTGATAAAATTCACATTTTCTTAAACTGTACATTGTATTTAAGTTTGTCAAAGTTGACCTGCTAAATTTAATGTCTGGTCTGTTGAAGTAAAAACTAAGGACATCCCTATACTTTAGGCTTTGTAGCTCAGATTTACTGGCAAAAATGGGGGGGAGGAACCATTAAATAAAGTTAGCAGAATGTAAGTAAAAAGTTCAATATTTTAGAAATGCTAAAACTTTTATTAATGGGGTTATACTTATAGTTAACTGTCACTTCTGGAAAGACCAGGCTAACAGAAACTCACACAAATATATTGAAATGTTTTATTTTAAGAAGAGATTGTAGTCATTGTACAATTGAAATCTAAAAAGATAAGATAAAATAGTGAAATCATCGATGCCAAACACAAGCCTAATTGAAGCATTATCTATTTCCATACATATGTTTATTTGAATATAAGCCAGAAATGTTTGTTATACCACCAGACCACCAGGGTACTCCTAGCCCCTGTCTCCTTTAATTCACTCAGTCACAGGAGCTCATAGCATACACCTCCCCATTGCTTGTAAGTTGTAACTATAGTATATGTAGATGTACCGCAAAAAAGTGCGCAAATTACATGGGTTTTTACGGTACATATATTTTCATTCACAGTGGAACTACATAGTTTTACTTTTGTCTTCAAACACAAACTCTGAAATAACAAAGATAAGAAATAAGTGGAACAGCAAAAAAAGAAACAAAATGTTCTTGATAACTAAAGAGGAAAATAACGGAATGTGGATCAATGAAAGAGGAGAATGAGAACAAAAGCAGATTAACAGAAATGAGTAGAGTCAACAAAACTAATGTCATTGAAAACAAATTAATGGAGAGCAGATTTTATGAAACTAATTCAATGGAAAGTTTATGAAGAGCAAGGTATTGGATAGTCTATTAATGGTGACCAGAATGTTTGAAGAAAAGGTTGACAGATTCCAATTAACAAAAAGAATTTGGTATGAATTATAATTTTCTTTGGTGATGTCTGTTCCAATTAAAACTTATTAGGATGTAAAAACATTTACATCAATGCCATAATATGTCATGCCACCAAAAAACAGACAGTTGTAGCATCAATTCAATTCAAGATATTTTGGTGTTTCAAAATAAAGGGTTAGACAACAGGCATAGCCTATATAAGTCTTCTCCCATTACGGTCACAGCAGTTGTATCTTGTTATGTCTCCTCCTTCGAATGAAGGGGAGACATATACAGACTTATTGTCCTTTGTTTATTTTTACCATATTTTACCGCAAAAAAGCCCCCTCTCGCAAATAAGCCCCCTCCCCACTTTGGTAAATGTCCTGGGAACAGGGTGGGTGCCTGCAATTAAGCCCCCTCCCTAATTTTGTCTCCATCTCAAAAAAAATGTATGTCAATTTTTTAGCAAATTAGCTAAATGGATGCAAAACAACATAAACCCAAGTTTAAATACTACAAACAACTTTGTTTCTGAATTAGGCACAATAGTAAAAAGCATGTAGTGACACATACTCTTTACTGAGTACTGTGATTCTGTGGCTTTTTAGGTCACCTGAGACAAAATCTCAAGTGACCTATTGCGATCGCCTTTTTTTCTCCAGCGGCATCCGTCGTACGTCAGTAAACAATTTACATTTTCGACTTCTTCTCCAAAACCCCTCAACCAATTTCAATGAAGTTTTGCAGAAACCTTCCATGGCCAAATGTCAACAAATAGAGTGGCTGGTTTGGTCCCCGGCCCCCAGGGGCCTGAGGGGAGGGGCCTGAGGGGTAGGGCCTGAGGGGCGGGGCCAGGAAGGGTCAAATTGACTAAAATTACAAAAATCTTCTTCTCAAGACCCAGATATGGTAGAATCAAATACTCTTTATAGATGGAAGGGTCTTAAGGTGCTTTACCAAAATTGTGAATTTCATGACCCTTGGGTCTCACGTTTCCCCCTGGGGAGGGGGTAACCTATAGTTTATATAGGGAAATCACATTTTGGACCAACATTTGTTTAATTTCCATTGGAAGTAATTCAATTTGGGTTAGCATTATCAGGATCAGTATCCCCTAGGGAGGGGGGGGGGGGCAAAATTTACTATGGTTTATTATGGCAAATGATACTTTGAATATTACTTGCCAATTTGATTGGAGTTATAACCCTGAATTGACAGTTTGATGATTTGAAATTTTGAGCCAGCCCTACCCCCAAGGGTTGTAGGATGGGACCCAAAGGAGTCGATGTGCTAAAATTTCTTCATTTTTAGCTCACCTGCCCTTTTGGCCAATCTTTTTTCTCAGGAGGGGGTCGGGGGGGGGGGGATTATTTGCGGTAAAATATGGTTATACCGAAGGTTGTCCGGAGCATAAGTTCCATGTTAATTCACCTATGTTGACCAAACTTACCATATTTATGTATCTCGGGAAGGAGGAATCTCTCACACTGTAACGAGGTCTTGTGCCCCACTATATAAAGAGTTATGGCCCGTTGTTTATTTTTATTACCATAGTTTGTCTACAGTATAACTTTGATGTTATTTCACTTACGTTGACCAAACTTGCTATAGTTACGTATCTTGGGAAGTAGGAATGTCCCATTCTAAATTAAGGTCTCGTGCCCATCTATACAAAAAGATATGGCCCTTCATTATTTTTGTATACCGAAGTTTGTCTATTGGCTAATAAGGGGAGACATATGTTTTTGTTCACAAAA